AGAGAAAATACTAACTTCGAGTCCGCGCGAAACGCATCCTTCGTTCATCGGCGTAAATTATATTAAACTGACCTAATTGTGAAAAATTCGTGGCCTCGGTGGGACTCGAACCCACATCAACAGGAATGACTTGTATGGTTGTCTAAATAAGACACGGAAAAAGGAACGTCACGGCCACATAGAACAGGTGTCCTTGTGATTAATTTCAGGAAGGACAAACTCCCATTTCGGTAAAAGTTCAATTTAGAGTCCACGCCAGCACGCGAAAAACCCATCCTTCTGTAATACGGGACAGGTGGGAATAAGGGGTAAATGAATGGGATGTATCAGGAGAACTAAAAAATCAATAAATGAAGTTGAGCGTATAATAATGATTTAAATAACAGTATATTCGCGCGCGATAATTAAAATGATAAATATAACCAAGAGGAAAGAGGAAGGCCCATTGTCATTATCGTGCGCAAATAGTCGGCTGTTTAACTAAGCTGTAGTAGACACTAGGTTAGACTTTCACAACTAATCCTAACATGAAACTGAACTTAAAGCCTAAGTCCTCATCCAATTCCAAATCGAAACCTTACATTTAACAAGGACCCAAACCCTAACCCCCAACATAATCCCGACCCTGGTCGCAACCGTACATCTAAGCTTAACTAATCCTCAATCCTGAATCTAATTTCCCTGTAATGTGGCGATACTTGTTCCCGTGTGCTGTTCAGACGGTCATCTTTGTGCAACAAAACTAGCCAAACACAAGAGTCTCTCAGGAAGCCAAGTTAGGCGAACGAACGTTTTCGATTTATTCAGCATCAGGCAAGTATAATAATATAAATGGAGGGTAGAGATAGCAAAAGTTTAAGCAACCAATCAGCGGTAAGTAAGGGGGGGAGGGGGAAATGCTAAGAGATCAAAGGGCAGGGGTAAGAGGGACGGGTCCTACAATTAATTCATGTCACTCGGTCGAACAACTAGGTGGCTGTCCAAGCGCATGCAAGAACACCATCCTGCCTGGCTGAACAGAGGCGAGGTAAAACCAATATCTAGTGCGATTTTGGCTCACTTGGTTTATAGAAGTCATTGAGTCGACGTAAACCAAATATTTCGAGTCTTGTATAAAGTGCCGCCGAAACAATTCAAGTTCCTGCGTCAGCGGATACTTGCGACGGCAGAGGCAATCGCCATACGCCTAACTAACCTGATATTATGTGCGCAGAAGGCGTTTGTAGCGGCCCTAAGGCTCCCGTGGCCAAAGACCAACTCAGCATCTGTCCACAGACCTGTCATGCCGCGAGACGGTGATGAGGCAGTGACAACTGGTGTCCAGACGCCAAAAAACGGCGATGAGACGAACGGGTGACATGAAATAATTGTAGGACCCGTCCCTCCTCTCCCCCGTCATTTGATCGCTTAATATTTCCTCCCATATCCACTTTAGTTACCGCTGATTGGTTGCTTACACTTGCTAACTCTACCCTCCCTTTGCATTATTGTACATACTTGCCTCATTATGAATTAATCGAAAACTTTCGTTCGTTCGCCTAACTTGGCATCCTGAATGCTTACATGGGTATCATCGCTGAACTTAAACAACAGTCTGTGGCAGCCTGAATTCGGTAGTGCCCAGCGTATTCACCTCCTTCTCATCCTCCAAACCTTTTGTCGAATTTGGACGTACGGACTACCCGCGCGCCCAGCGCTGACTCATCCTCTTACATCTGCGCGCTTTCTACTTTTGCATCCCCATTGTCGACGCACCTTCGCCCAAAGCTAATCGATTCCTTGCGAGCTCTGATGCCAACAACTGCACCCTTTCCTGATCGGCTGATGACTGAGCAGGCTTCGCGAAACCCGCGCGCATAGACACTTTTACACCTACGCAGCTGGACTTGCCGACGATTATTACGATTGTGCCTGTTTATTCAATATTATCCCTTTTAACACTTTTGGGCATTCCGTCATTATTATTTTCGGATAATACTTGCTAGGAGCTTCCCTATTTCGTCCGGACGTCAAAACGCGACAAGTCTCTCTCAACTAGGTTTGTCAAAAACATTGGTGCGACGCAATACTTAGTGTTCGTTTTTTTTCGCCTTCCGTAATTAGAGAACTCGGAATGATTCTGTTGGGAGCCCAATATC